TTTTTTTTTCCCAATGGAGAAGCATAAAAAAGCCGAATTGTCAGTCTGCATTTATGTTTTTCTTGATTTTCTTTGAGTTCAAATGAGAAATTTTTTTAAAATAACTTATACACTAGAAAAAATATAAGGCAAAGGAGATAATTTATAAGAATCTGTTCTTTTATTCATTATGTGTTGAGTAATTTCAATTAGTAATTCAGTATGGACTTTAAACAACAGCTTTTTCCCCCAATTCTTATGTTGGTAAAATTCCTAAAATGTTGAAAATTAAGTAAGTAGACACACACAGGAATCCTTTCCTGGAACCAACCAGTATTGAGCAATGAGTGTAAAATTTCTTGCTCAAAGACAAAACCCGCCCCTGATGGGGTTTGAACCCACGCCACCAGCAATCCTTAATAGATTAATAGTCCGACACATAAACTACTTGGCCAGGATATACAGTTGGCCAACTATCTTAAAATTTTCATCTTGGTATTGCCAAACCTATGTTTGAACCTATGCAGCTAGCGGCCATTTGATAACTACTCTAAAGCTTAACCACATGTCCCTCCTACAGAAATACTTGAAGAGGGTATTCATTTTATATAATCTTTGTTATGTACATATAATTGTTTTATACAAAATATTTCAGGTTGTACATAATGTAGGACTGTGTATTGCATTGTGGGATATTCAGAAAATGGAAGAAAGTTTTATATTTCCAGGAGATGGTGCTCATCATACCATAGGTTTGTATTTGTTTTGTAAAGTCTCTTATTTCCTGTAATACATTCTTTGACCCTTACACTGCTGAAGCTAAGAGGAATAACCAGTATAGAACCAGTCTGATCAGGCTACATGTATATACTGTTAGATTAGTTTATTCTAATTTATTTAGTTCAATGGTGTTGGAACACTCTTGAATACATTCCTGGGACCAATAAGTACTAAGCAATGAGTGTAAAGTTTCTTTCTCACAGAAACGATTTGCACCTGATGGGGTTTGAACCCATGTGGCCAGCAATCCTTAGTTAACAACTTGACCACGCCATACAGTTGGCCAACCACCTTTCAATTTAAATCATGATGTCACAGGGTGAGGAAAATGTGCAGCCTGCAAGGTCTCGAACCCGGTATCCTGCAGCTCTACCAAGTTACCAACTGAGCTATCCGGCCGCCTACACATCTCTCCAAAATAGTGAACAGTCCTGAACCTTGACATTGCTATTGCCAAAAATGATGATCACCATGTATATCAGTAATACAGGAATATAAATATTGCTGGCATTGTGCAATAGTAACCCTGAATCTGTGCAATATATTTGAAATGAACTGTAAATCAAATGGACTGTTCCAAGAAAAGTAAACTTGAAAAATCCATTTAAAGAATTCTGCAGATTAAAGCTTGGTTGTTTCATATTTTAAAACAATTTGATTTTTTGTTTGTTTTGTAAATACACTATGACAGACTGTCATGACTTTCATTTAGAAATGTTTAATTCAGATATTTATGCTACTGATGGTATATTTATAAGTTTTGAAAAATAATTCATTTTTCCTAATTGAAAATTTCTTATTGGTGCATAGTAGTAGTAAGTATGATAATTTATTTGTAAAAGATCCTAAGTGAGTATTTTTTTTGAGCATCTGGACACCTACCATAATAAAGCAATATCAAATGATTAGCCACTCAGAAGTTAAATTTTCATGTCTAGCATTTTTTGGTTGTGTTTTACATTACAACAACAAAGTAGAGGTCATATGGTGACTTTCCAGTATTACTTTTGGTGGAAGACCCCAGGTGCCCCTCTGCATTATTTCAGGCATTAACAGTCACCTGAGAAAAACCACCAACGTTCCATAAACTAGCTGAAAAGCTATGTCACATGAAATTTTATTAGGCAAATTTCCAAAGTCCCTAATGGGATTTGAGCCCACATCGATCAGGGGCAAGTGGTTTAAAAACAATGACCTTAGCCACTCGGCCATGGACACCCCTTTCTGTCTTATATAAGCATTGCATCATTACATATTTTAAAGCTATTTTTGTTTAGAAAAGTAATTGAAATGATGTTTGAATTAATGAAAGAAATTTCAGTTAATAAATTAATACAGCAATTAGTTCTGTAATTTCCCTTTGCTGTTATTTTTCATGTCATTTCTTTTTCAGTTCAGTTCCGATATGTTGTGTTCCGTCCATTTGTAGACGAGATTTTGCTGGGCAAGATAAAGTCATGTAGCAAAGAAGGAGTCTGTGGTACATATGAGAATCTGTTTTATATTTGTTAAATTAAGTGATCAATAAATTAGTGGCCTTCATATTTTGAAAAACGTCCCATACAAGAGATAAAATCAAGCTACATTAGTTAAAAGCCTCAGAAATTATTTGTTAAATGCATGTTTTATGATGTTGTTATAATGGATCAAGAACAATTGTAAAGTAAATTGCTGTACATGTGAAATTATTTGTGATTAATGTTAATAAAAGTAAACAGAGTAGTATTTTGACTTCTATACAAAATACTAAATTCATTCCTATAGTAATTGCCAAATTAAAAAAGTCCAAAATAATGCCAAAAACTAGAAAGCTATTGAAAAAAAAAAATTGTAGCATTTTTCATTTCTTAATGGGCCTTTAAATAAAGTAATGAATTTTGTTTTGAATAGAGTTGAAATTTGAAGTAAGCTTGCTGTTGCTAATTGTCCTATTTAGTTTGTTTTTTTTGCTGAGAAAGAATTAGTATTTGGAAGACATGATATGGTTCCTTCTCCTTTATACTAATGTATAATGGGTGGTATTACATGTATATTAAATGAGCCGCGTCACAACAAAACCAATATAGTGGTTTTGCGACCAGCATGGATCCAGACCAGCCTGCGCATCCGCGCAGTTTGATTAGGATCCATGCTGTTCGCTATCAGTTTCTCTACTTGTTACAGGGTTTGTAAGCGAACACCATGGATCCTGATCAGACTGCGCGGATGCGCAGGCTGGTCTGGATCCATGCTGGTCGCAAACCCATTATGTTGGTTTTGTCATGACGCGGCTCAAATGAGTTATAACATAATTAAATAAATTTTTCAAATAAAATTAATCTTAAATAAGACGTTTATTACATGAATAAATGAGGTGGCATAATTTATCTCAGAGGAAATTTAAATGTCTGCAATTAAAATTAAGAAATAAAAACTTGTTGAGGATTATTTGGATTTTATCAAGCAGCTGATCTTTGTGTAGAAATGAAGGTGTTATTGTAATAAGAAGTAATTAAGAAATGAAGATTTCCAAACATAATTTGTTCATTGTCTTATTCAAATAAGACATTTAGTATAAATAAATTTCTGCAGTGAAAAAGTATTTTACAAAAAGACGAGCATATAAATAGTATATCTTTAAGCTAGAAGTATATTCTTTTTACATGTAATGACAAAAGATGAAGTTAGAAGGCACACATTAAACCACAAACATTTAGGTGTCCGACTGTAACCCCACCTTGCTCCCCCCTTGGTAATTCTCAGTAACTTTTAACATTTTAACACAAGTGGGACATCTTACTCAGTCATAAATTTGGTTTGAGACAAGCCTTACTGTATATAGTACTTGATGGTAACAAGCACCAAGCAATGATTGTAAAGTTTCTCGTTCAAGGAAACAGCACTTGCCCCCTGACTGGGTTGGAAACCATGCTGCTAGTGATCATTAGATTACTAGTCCGGCGCGTTAACCACTCGACAAAGCTGCCACTTCTGGCTTTTATAAGTCTATGAAAAATTTGAAGATACTTTTATCACATAACACTGCTTTATATTTCCAGTGTAATATATAAACTATAATGTATTTCTTTACATGGCATATGTTTGATTTAAAAATAGTCTGTCACACAGGGATTTGGCTGGGGTTTACTTTTTTAAATTTTTGGCTATATAAAACCATGTCATAAAAAGAATCTTACCTGTCACTTGTAACTTCATAAGGATTTGAATAAAACCCTTCTATGAAATGTCCTAGACTTGTTTTATAATACATGTAGTTTATAAGGAATGACAACTTGATACTGGGATAAATATATTGAAATAGATTGTCATTATTCAGTTGATAATATTCTCCCTTTGTTGTCTGTCTATCAGGTAGCTGACATTTAGTTTGCCTACTTCATGTTTAAAAGCTTTTAGTCAGATTACAGTCATATTTGCAAGACTGAATGTGAAATCTAATCAGTACCAGGTACTTTTTTTTCTTAAATTTTATTTTTTTATGTTTTTCTTGTGCATTTATCCATGCTTTTTTTAATTTGAAAAATTTAGTGCAATAATGAATAAAGCTATGCCCTTTTAGTAGGCTAATAGATAGTCACTGCAAAAGATTTGAGCTGCGCAAGCGTCTTGCTTTTTTTCATGCATTTGTCATGTGAGAAAGCATAGAATCCAGCTAGCTTATGGAACATCTGTGGTGCTACTCCGGTGCCTAATTTGTGCCTCAATTAAAAGGCAGAAGGGTGCCTGAGAAGTTCCTTCACCAACAAAGCTGGAAAAGTTGTCGTATAATTTAAACTGTGTTGATGTGACATAAAACCTAATAAAAAAAGATCAAGCCATTAATGTGAAGGTGCTATCCGCCAAGTAACTGAAAAATAGTAAAAGAAATTGAAGTATATGTAATAAAATCATTTCATATTAAAGGAAAGCTTGGGGTGTTAAATGTTTATCAGATTAAGTACTGTCAGCTCTCTGACCCAATGATTTCAAAGCTGTACTGTCGTCTCTGTAAATTGCAACAAATATCACATGATTCTGTGACAAGTAATCTTTATCAGCTGAACTAATGTTGAACACTTCTTTCAAAGTTTAAGGATTCAAAGTTAAAAGGATTTCAATATCAAAATACAAAAAATAAGCTTGGGACAGTATGTTTAAAATTTGGCTTGGTTTCTTTAAAAAAAACAACAACAAAAACAACAAAAAAACATCGAAATGACATTAACAAATCAAGACTGAAGTTACTTGCAGCTACTATTTTTTGTGTGTGTCATTAATCATCCCGTAGGGAATTAAACACAATGGAAAAGTAGTTTTAGTGTATCTTAATTATAGCAAATGGTAACCAAATCAAAAATACTGTGCCTGCACATATTTATTAACACTTGTCTCAAATCCTGAATCTGTCTGATATCAGAAGATCTAGATTTTTTTTTTTCAATCTCAGAAGTAGCATAGGGACATAGTGTGTCTGTGGGGAAAATAGACTGTTTACTACATCAGTATACAATTTCATTTAATACTCTAGAAACCAGGTCTTTGACCTGCAGCGTCTCTTATTTCAGGGATTATAATAGATTTTACATTTTTCCCCATTGATTTATTAAGCTGTAAACACTGTCAACCTAGACAGATTAATTTAAACCAGAGAGAGAAAAAGTAATCTTTTCTTTGAGATACTTTGAGATATGTTTACTACAAAGTTTGAAGGAAATGTTGACATAAAATGATTTTATTTTGTATTGTCTGGTCTCTTGTTAATTATAAACATAGACTACTTTGTTGAGACGATAGGTTGTTATTTGGGTGATCTTGTATATAGTTGTACTACCTTTTACATATTAGAAATACAAAAGCCTGATGCGACATGCATGTGCACATCATGTCTCATGCAAATGCATTAAATTATAAGTTAAGTGATAGTAATTTTTTATAAATAACAACATACAAATTAATGTACAGACACTATGCAAAAACTATGTGAGCTTCTAATTTCAGAATATATTACTTATAATATGCTCATCAGAATATTAAATATGGTGTCAAAAATAATCAGAATAGTTACTTCTGTAACTCCAGGAATGCTGGTTAGGTGGATGGACCTCTAAGATTATGACCAAAATTGTGTTGAAATCAGCCTTAAACTATACAATCAAACAAACTTTCCTATCCTTTTTGTGAGAATATCATTTAAATAAATGTATGCACATGTATTTCCACTTTGAAATATAATTTCATTGAAATAACAAGTACATATTTGTCTGTTTTCCAGTATCTATGGGATTTTTTGATGACATACTGATCCCAGCTGATTCCATGCAAGATCCTACAAGATTGTATCCTTTCAATGAAAGCACCTTGTGATTGAGGGGTTGCCTTTAATGGTTGTGGCATAAGAACTGCAGCCACTGTTTATCCGTGTGATCGTAAAAGGCGGCTAAATGGGTTTGAATGACTGGAGTCTATGTAACTCTTAGCTGCAGCAGGTGAGCTGGTTTTGCTTTGAAGTTTGTAACAACGGAGCTTTAAGTCAAAATCATCTTTCCTGTTTTGGTGCCATATGACCTATACTAATCTATGGTGGTGAGTCGTAGAACAAACTTTCAATTAAACATTATTTCATGTTAGAAAGATGTCAAGTTTCCAAACAAAAATGCACAATATTTATATGGTAATAGTTCTACCCATGTGCTTGTATGTGACACTTTACAGCTGCTAACATAAACATAATGGGGTTAGAGTTTGTTTGCAAAAAATAGTTACATGTATGTGTAAACAGTGTGACTGCTTGTGAAGCAATACAATACGGTTTTCTACTTTTGAGTAGTTTTTCATTAGATGTCTCACAATATCATAGAACTAATATGATTTGAACATATTTGTGAAACATAGTTAAGATAAGAGGTTAATTGACCTTGACCTATATAATAGTGATGAGAATGAACAGCTATGGGCGTGGGAGTATCAGATGGAGGATGGTAAACATGACCTATTTATGGACATTGGAGAAGAAATCAGGTAATAATGCTAGAAATAGGCAATTATACTAGAAACAGCTATACAGTACTGTCACATCAGTATATATTTTTAAATTTTCCCCAAAAATAATGGATATGAAGAAATGGGCAATATACAGAAATGTCATAGAAGCAGCTAGAAGTTACTGTTCAAAATTATTAACTCTGACAGCTGGAAGTTACCGAGTATGCCCATGCAAGTGGTACAGACCAACTTCAACTGGTAGATAAGTACATGTATATATTTCTTAAATTTTCCTCAAAAATAATGGATGGTTTTTCCTAGATTGTAAGATGGACAAGTCTGTATGAGGTATTAAGCATGGTAAGGGGTGAACAGTTTAAGATAGTTTAATTATGATTTAAAGAAGATAGTAAATATAATTATTAAAGTAGTGAAATTAGGTAACTGTGTGAATTAACAAGATACAAAACAGCCGCATGATGATTTTTATACTTGTATGTTTTTAGACTCCGTTTAGGACATAGTAAATTGGACATGATGAGAGATAGCTGTGTTAAATGATATTAAATGATATAATTATACATGTATCATGGTTTGGGGACCTTTCTGTTGAAAATGTGTCAGAGTTAAATCGTATACATATACATGCACAGTGCGTTAACTGGAGTGCAGGTATTAGTTACCCACACTCCAGAGCATGCCCATTGATTGGCTCATTTTTGCTGAAGTTTACTTATTGTGACGGGAGAGAAAGGGAAAGCGACAGAAATATCATATTCAGATGCTCGTTCATTGGTTACTTTTTTCCGGGTTTCATATAGTGACAACAGGGAACATGTTTTTATGTTTGACTATGATACAAAAGAGAAAGAACATCAAAACTCTCGGCAATCTGATAAATACTCGGGGGGCTATGCCCCCTCGTACAAATCAGATAGCCTCGTGTTTTGATGCTCTTTCTATTACATGTATGTGGTAAATAACGTGTTATATTGGTATATAAACTATATGGATGTTTTTACATGTATTTTGTTGACAGATTTCGTGTAGTAGATAACACTTTTGTTGACACAACTCCAGTAGGCCCAGAGAATGTCAGTAAAGATTCTGATGTAACAGAACATGAAGTGAAAAAATCACCATACACAATCACAGTAAGTGTGTTTGATTTATCACAGGATTTTTCTTTAATTAATTAAATTTGAATGAAGAGCTGTGTTGTTTTTTTTTGAAAAACAAATTGTAATTATTAGCCAGATTTCAATATCTGAGGACAGAATGAATGACAAAGTTACAGCCTTTTCTAAACTGTTTAGATATGAAGGCATGCATGTAATACCTACTGATAGAACCTCTTTCATCTGATGATATTTTTCTTTGTTCCACTCAAACCTCTAAGGTCAACTTATTTGACTAAATACCTGATAATTGATCTTTTTTATTATGCCCCCCGGCATATAGTGATTGAACCGTCCGTCCGTCCGTACGTACGAGGTTAACCTAGAACGGCAAGTTGGATTTTTCTTAAGTTCTACCTGTACCAATGGCTTCTAAGTTTAAACACTTACTAATCAATACAAAGTACATGATCTGGGCAAGTTACATAACTCTGGCTTTCATATTTACCAAGTTATTGCCCTTTTCAGCACTTAGAAAATGAATAATGGTTAACCTAAAACGGCAAGTTGGAAATATCTTAAGTTCTATCTATACTAATGGCTTTATAATTTCCACACTTACTTATCAATACAAAGTACATGATATTGCCAAGTTATATAACTGTGTCATCCATATTTCCCAGTTATTTCCCTTTTTTCACTTTGAAAATAGGGCCTTGTCTGGTTAACCTATTTCAGCAAGTTGGATTTATCTTAAATTTCTCCTAATTGCTTAATTTCTTTAATGATATCTTTCATATTTAGTAAGTGGATACCTTTGATGGGCCTGTAATTTTTTTAAGAGTAAGCGGTCTCTAGGGTCAAGGTCAAGGTCACTGGTTTAAAAAATAAATATAAACATTTTTGCTCATACAGCCTTTATATTTTAGTTGATGTCTTAGTTTAATACAAACATGCCAAGGGAGGTCCTCCTTCTTTGGGTGTAGTAAGGGGTCATTTGGGTCAAGGTCAATGTTACCAATGTCAAGGTCACCAATGTTAAAAATAGATTTTTACATTTTTACAGGTGTATTGACCTTATTCTATAGACAGATGTTATTTATAATTGATAGAAACATAAACTTTGATGGAGTTAGTGGTCAGTTGGGTCAAGGTCACCAGTGCTAAAAATAGATTTTTACACTTTTGCTCATACAGCCTTTATTTATTGACAGATATATTTTATATTTGGTAGGAAGATAACTTGCATGGTATTCATCCTTTTGATTGGGGTAGGGATCAGTGGGTCAAGGTCACTTGTGCTAAAAATAGATTTTTACACTTTTGCCCATACAGCTTTTATTTATTGACAGATGTATTTCATATTTGGTAGGAAGATAACGTGCATGGTATTCTTCCTTTGCGTGGAGTAAGGGGTCAGTTGGGTCAAGGTAACTAGTGCTAAAAATAGATTTTTACACTTTTGCCCATACAGCCTTTATTTATTGACAGATGTATTTCATATGTTGTAGGAAGATAACTTACATGGTATTCTTCTTTTGGATAGAGTTAGGGGTCAGTTTGGTTAAGGTCACCAGTGCTCAAAATAGATTTTTACACGTTTGCACATACAGCCTTTATTTAAAGACAGATGTATTTCATATTTGGTAGGAAGATAACTTGCATGAAGTTGAAATATTTGGTAGGAAGATAACTTGCATGAAGTTGAATATTTTTCAAACAATGACTTGGCAACTTATATTTTTCACAATTACAAAATGCCATGACTTCGTCAAGCTATATAACTTGTGTTTACAATTTTTTGCCAATTTTTCTGTCCATAACTGAGTGAATGGGTAAACAGTTTTTGAAATATTGCTACTGACAAGAATCTGAGCCGGGGGCATTTGTGTTTAACAAACACGTTCTTGTTTTAACTTGTATTGCATTACAGTTAAGTATTTTCATTGATGATACCAATAAAGATACAATACATGGCAGTAGTCTTTTTTTTTATAACTCTTCAAAAAGTCATAAAAAGAATGCTTATACCTTTAAAAGGCCTGAAAAGTAATATTAAAAATCAATTTATAAAAACCCATACCAGTTCATTAAACACAAAACTGATGACCACTAACCACTCACCGATTTGGGTTCGAATGTTGATATGTCCTACACAATTTGGTTGTGGATTTTAGTTTTGATCTAAGATGTTCTGTTTAATAACCCTATGTTTTACAGAAACTGCTTTAATACCAGTATATTTCCTAACATTAAGATGTGTTTTTGATGTGACAGTAACCTTTCATAGATTTCATTTAATTTGTTCCATAGTAAGTATGAGAAGTATTTGTAACTGATAAAAACTGTCTGTATGTCAGTTCATAAAAAGCCCTCTGTCTGTCAGACCGTACAGTTGATTGATCTGTAATTTAAATGTCTGTCTAGCTGGCTTTTATCCCATTATCATTGTATCAAATTATTGTAGCTTTATAGCAAAGATAATTCATACAAAAAGACTTGTCTGGCTAACAAAGCTTCTTAAAAGTTATTGTAGAGGATTTTATCATAAAATTAGGTCTTTGCTTTAACATATTAACTGAGGTAAAAAAATATCAAAAACAAACAATTTCCAATTACATTGTGTATGTAAAATTCAGTTGTCTGTAATTTGTAGTAAGCAATTTCATTATTGAAAAAAGGACTGTTTGTTGTTTATGTATGAATACATAATATTTAAAGTCATTAAGAGAAGAGTATTTTCCTACCAAAACTTTAATTCTCTGTATCATAAATGGAGGGACTAAAATATTTTTGATTCATCGAGAACAACATCTTTATGTAATTGAATTATTATTTGGCTTCAACTTTTTTTTTTAAGAAAAAAAAAATCATATTACCTTATTCATTGAATTTGTTTCTCAAAAATGTAAAATATGTCTTGTTTTTACTTTAATTGAATAAAAATGATGCTTATTTTGGTTATAAAAATGTTTAAAAAACAAACAAAAACAAATACTGACACTTAATTTTGTCACTCACTCTCAAGAGAAAGCAAGAAACTTTACAATCATTGCTCAGTAGTAAGTAGTTAGTACAGGTTGGTTCCAGAAACGGATTCAAGTGTGTATCAATAAGTTATCAGTTTCCTACATAATGGAGGTAAAATAAATTCTATAAAAACCAAGATATGATAAAAAGATTCATTTATCAAACCAAGAGACATTCATAATTAAAAAAAACAACCAATAAATGAATTGTCCTTGTAAACATTCAGCTAAATGTTTCTAAGAAATATTCCAGACAAAAATGACAGTGAGAATTAAGGTAATTAAATTGCCATGTCTTTGAAAATCACAGAACTCAGTGTGAATAAAATGTGCTGCAACTATTGATAGCTATCAATGAAGTTCGCAATAGAAGAAAGTCGTGTTTACTGTTTGATATTATGAACATCTTTGGTTTTTTACATATATTTTATTTATATTTCAAAAAAAAATGTTAACATCAATATTGTGTTTCAATAAATACTTTATTTACATTTCAGGCATCTACAAGTGAACCAGGTTTGGGTCTTTTATCATGGTGGAACTCTTGACAACACAACAACTCATTTATTGTTACCATTTTGTGTTCATAAATTGACATTTTAACACTATGATAAACTATGGTAAAACACTTCAACAAGAGACTGTTTCGAGTGACAATCATGTTTTGCATGGCAAATTATAAGAGCACAAAATCATCATAATTAGCTAGTGCCTGGAGTAATGCAATAATGCACAGAGTAGCACCTGAAATGTGCTTAAAAGCCACCTCACATTTTCGGTGTAAGGCCAACATTTTTTTATAAAATGTTTTACGGGACCGCCGACCGTATTTTTAGAGAAAATCAAATAAAAATAAAAGTTAATTTAAGAACTTTTATTTTCATTTTGCCCGCCGACCTCTCTTACCCACTTCTGTCAAAATTAAAAGTTACTCGGTATGGTACACGTTTTTCACTTCAATTGTTTACGATACTTAACTGTAGAATCTTGGTAAAGCTTAAAACAAATGACAAGTTAGGCCCTTTGATGTTTACAAGAATGTTACAAAAGGCGTAACAAAAGGGAAGGGCGATAACTTAACAAGCTTGTAATAAATTAACCCGTGTGAATATCACGCGACACCGGGTCATGGAAACTTGTTTTCAATACAACTATGGCAATTTGAGTAATAAATATTAGAGCATTTTATCACACATGATAGCCTGCAAAGCTGTTAGAAAGCACGACTGGGAAGTAACATCCATTCCATTGCATAATAAGTTGATTTGAATCATCTTCACTTTCAGAACAGTTGTAAAAAATTAAATGGGCACGGGATCAAAGCCGTTGATCGACTAAGGTGTCAGAATGAAATATTACCCGATTTACCACGGACCATGAGAAAACTTCAACACATTAAAATTTAGACTCATGTATAGGTTTTTATAAAAAACATTATAAGGGGAAAATCTGGACTTGCATTTTACTTGACATATCGAGAAAATTGAGAAATCGAAATTCAACTCATACGAGTTCTACTTGTCTTACATTGTAGAGTTAGTAAATTGATAATAAAAAATAAAAAATCTTTATTATGAATCTTTTAAAACAATTGATTAATTTATAATACCAAAATAATAAATTCCTGAAAGTTCTTTGGTGGACAGATTTTTGTTGTTGTAATGTCTTGTTGATAATTGAACACAGTCATCTATAACATTGATTAAGTTTAATTTATATCATGACCAGTAGACTAAAGGCAGTAGTTATGTGTATTTTAAGAAGTTTTTTACTAGATCAATATTGAGACAATTGGCCTTTTTTCAATGTAAGATTATGAGCAAAAGTCCTCTAGGCTCTTTGACATTTCTGTAAAAAATTGCCTGTAATAAATTCTCTGCAGAAAACCCTGATTTTGGAACAATGTATGCCATTTTATTTTCTATTTACTGTCAATGGCTTTTATTTTACTAATCATTTGAAATATGAATAATTTTCAGAAATTGCAAATTTTTTGCACATACAGAACTTACTCTCTTTAAGATAATTTGAAGATGTTGATTTAATTTACCTTGTGAAACTGACATTGTACAATATTATGTTTGTACCTCTGTGAATGGTTAAGGTTTCTGACCTCAAATCACTCTCCCTATGTGATGTTGTTGATAAGAATCCTGTCGGGGGGGGGGGGGGGGTGGAACTTAATTTGAATTCCCATGAGGAAACTATCAGTAAGCTTATAATAAGTTGGTTGTTCTATCACTATAATCAGGTTGCAAGCTTATGTCAGTATTGTAAACCTTGAGAGTGGCAATACAACCTTGTTTGGATACTCTTGAAATGAAGGGACTAAACAATGAATTTGGAGTTGTGTGGCATGTTTGGCCTAAATGCGAAAAGACAAACGAATACAAATTCTAGATCAGCATTAAATATTTACATAAAACAAAAGCAAAAGTGACTTTAAACATTTTTTATGCCCCACAGAGTGGGAGCATATAGCGTTGCACTTGTCCGTCCGAGTGTCCGTCCGTCCGTCTGTCCGTCCGTCCGTACGTCCCGAAATCTTGTAAACGCAACTCCTCTTAAACCGGATGGCAGATTGTGCTTAAACTTCCAGGGATGAACAACCTTAATGTGTAGATGGTAGTAAAGGGTGGAATTTTTGCTGCGACCAAATTTAACAGAATTATGGCCCTTTGTTGATTTTTTCACTATATACTATGTAGAAATTTTGTGAATGCAACTCCTCTTAAACCGGATGGCAGATTTTGCTTAAACTTCCAGGGATGAACAACCTTAATGTGTAGATGGTAGTAAAGGGAGGAATTTTTGCTGCGACCAAATTTAACAGAATTATGGCCCTTTGTTGATTTTTTCACTATATATTATGTAGAAATTTTGTGAATGCAACTCCTCTTAAACCGGATGGCAGATTTTGCTTAAACTTCCATGGATGAACAACCTTAATGTGTAGATGGTAGTAAAGGGAGGAATTTTTGCTGCGACCAAATTTAACAGAATTATGGCCCTTTTTGATTTTTTCACTATATACTATGTAGAAATTTTGTGAACGCAAATCCTTTTAAACCAGATGGCAGATTTTGCTTAAACTTCCTTGGATGAACAACCTTAATGTGTAGATGGTAGTAAAGGAAGGAATTTTTGCTGCGACCAAATTTAACAGAATTATGGCCCTTTGTTGATTTTTTCACTATATACTATGTAGAAATTTTGTGAACGCAACTCCTCTTAAACCGGATGGCAGATTTTGCTTAAACTTCCAGGGATGAACAACCTTAATGTGTAGATGGTAGTAAAGGAAGGAATTTTTGCTGCGACCAAATTTAACAGAATTATGGCCCTTTGTTGATTTTTTCACTATATACTATGTAGAAATTTTGTGAACGCAACTCCTCTTAAACCGGATGGCAGATTTTGCTTAAACTTCCAGGGATGAACAACCTTAATGTGTAGATGGTAGTAAAGGGAGGAATTTTTGCTGCGACCAAATTTAACAGAATTATGGCCCTTTGTTGATTTTTTCACTATATACTATGTAGAAATTTTGTGAAGGCAATCCTTTTAAACCAGATGGCAGATTTTGCTTAAACTTCCTTGGATGAACAACCTTAATGTGTAGATGGTAGTAAAGGAAGGAATTTTTGCTGCGACCAAATTTAACAGAATTATGGCCCTTTGTTGATTTTTTCACTATATACTATGTAGAAATTTTGTGAACGCAACTCCTCTTAAACCGGATGGCAGATTTTGCTTAAACTTCCAGGGATGAACAACCTTAATGTGTAGATGGTAGTAAAGGGAGGAATTTTTGCTGCGACCAAATTTAACAGAATTATGGCCCTTTGTTGATTTTTTTCACTATATACTATGTAGAAATTTTGTGAACGCAACTCCTTTTAAACCGGATGGCAGATTTTGCTTAAACTTCCAGGGATGAACAACCTTAATGTGTAGTTGGTAGTAAAGGAAGGAATTTTTGCTGCGACCAAATTTAACAGAATTATGGCCCTTTGTTGATTTTTAGTTTTCAACTTGTGGCACATGTAGTCCAAAAAATATTTGACCTAGAGTCAAAAGATTGACAAAACAGTGGCGTGTGGGGGCATCAGTGTCCTTTGGACACATTTCTAGTTTTCAATTATTTTGTTAAAAATAATGTCAAAAATACTTCACAACTAACAAAATCATTGATTTTATGGATAAAAAATCTGTTTTTGGAGTGTTAAAAAAAAAGTTTGAAAATAAAAAATTTTCACCTCTTTTGTCATTTTTTTTATTTTGTGGTCGACTGATAAAAAAATTGAATTTTATTTTTATTTTTATTTATCCCCCCGACCCAATTTTTGAAAAAAATATCCCGTAAAACATTTAATAAAAAAATGTTGGCCTAACTAATAAGGATTCCACTTAGTTGTTTTTTACAGGGAGGGTCTGTAAATATTTTTTGGAGAAGTATGTACCATCTGATGAAGATCAGGCCCCAAGGTTATAAAAAAAATCTCCAAGCTCAAACTCAGATCTCAGGTATTTAATTGGTCAGAAACTGTCATAGAATGTTCATTGACCAATGAAAATCTTAAGATTTGAGACAGAACTCATAAAAAAAGTTTGATAACCTTGAGGCCTGGACAAATGACTTCAGGTCATTGGCTTGCTCCGTTTTTCCGGAATGTTACTTTTCTTGGCGCATAATGACCCAAAATTGAAGTATGAAATCTTTTAAACTCAATCGGACAAAGAATTACGTTCAATATATAACTTGTGTATACTATTTCATTATATCGTGCATATATTTTATTCCATGTTCAACAGACAGCTGGTCAGTGTAAGAATGTGAAATTGTATGTGTTAATGCATTTAGACCTTAGTAAATTCAACCTCTGTATGTGTTAATGCATTTGGACCATAGTAAATTCAACCTCCTTAACGCCCTTTCTCATCCCCTCCGCCCAATAAATATAAATAAATAAATCAATAAAACCACCACAAATTAATTCAGATATCATCTGTCCCTATTGAATAGGTGAATTATTTTCCGATTTCTTTCTGACATTTGATTCATTCTTAAAGATGACAAATTTTTGAAATTTCCATCTCATTTATACTGCTATGGTCCAATTAAGTTTTATCATAAAGTTAATTTGATGTTCGTTTTAAGATAACTGTTTCTTTAAGCTGAGAAGCTTAAAGTTATTCATTTCATGAAATTAGAATTGCAACTCTTTTAAGAACTTAACGAAACCTCCTTTCTTTCAGCAAGTGAGGAAAACAAATCACACAGATTTAGTGTGCCCCAGTCGACTACTACACTAATCGCACAACCATTCAAAACTGATTTAAACTAGTCTAAAAAATATCACCATTTAACCTGTGTTATAAATGAAAAATGGAAATTATTTTACTCGAAGTAAAAGTGTGCGTGTGTGGGGAAGGTGCAAGGGAGTGGTTATATGTTAACAGGGTTTTGCTAATTGTGATCACTTACTTTATAGGCCACACAACCATCTGTTATCATTTGTGTAGATGGCATGGTGTTTGAATTGCCCTTCAGTTAGTTCGTTATGCATACTTGTGACAACATGTTCTTTTTTTATGCAATAAAAGTACAAAAATGACC